TGTGTGTTCTGTCTACCTGATAAACATTTCATTATAGCAAATGGTCACAATACTGTGTGTGCTCTCTACCTGATAAACATTTCATTATAGTTAATGGTGACAATACTGTGTGTTCTGTCTACCTGATAAACATTTCATTATAGTAAACGGTGACAATACTGTGTGTTCTCTCTACCAGATAAACATTTCATTATAGTAAATGGTGACAATACTTTGTGTTCTATCTACCTGATAAACATTTCATTAAAGTAAATGGTGACAATACTGTGTGTCCTCTCTACCTGATAAACATTTCATTAAAGTAAATGGTGACAATACTGTGTGTTCTCTCTTCCTGATAAACATTTCATTATAGTAAACGGTAACAATACTGTGTGTTCTCTCTACCAGATAAACATTTCATTATAGTAAATGTTTACAATACTGTGTGTTCTCTCTACCTGATAAACATTTCATTATAGTAAATGGTGACAATACTGTGTGTTCTGTCTTCCTGATAAACATTTAATTATAGTAAATGGTGACAATACTGTGTGTTCTCTCTACCTGCATTAAGTTTCCAAACACTTAATAGGTCTGGTATTTAGAAATTCATTATTACTTTCTTATGAGCTAAATAAGTAGCATACATGTATATTTCTCTATCTGTTTTGAACTGTTAACCTAGAACTAGTAGTTACCTCCCTTGTACGATATGTTTCTTATATTACCCAGGATGCTGGAGGCGTACCTGAGAAGAAGTACAAAGATTTCCTTGACATTCTACTGATGGCTCGGGATGAGAACGGAAAGGGACTCACCAGGGAGGAGATCCGAAATGAGGTCGACACATTCCTGTTTGAAGGTGAATTTAACTTTGTATCTTACTAAGGATAAGCAGTATTAACAAGTGTAGCAATATACAGCCTTGTCCAACTTGAATGTTCATACTGAAAGCTTACCAACTGTAAACATAAATAGTTGTATCACATTGTCATACATATATATGTTCACAAAATATGGTATTTTTGAGGTCACATTGGTCGTTAAAAAAAAAGAACATTATGACTTCTACCGATGAACTCAATGGCCTAGATTGATGATACAATTGGCTTGTAACTTGCCAGTATGGTGTGGTGCAAACTTGTAAACGCAACTAACTTTGACCTGCTTTCAGGATCACAGTTGTCATATTGATGTGCCTAGTAGTGTGCTGGAACTGAGGCCTAAACATTTTGCTAAATGATATGACCTTGACTAATATTTACAGTCACAGGGATCCCATATGACAAAAAAACTTTCAATAATTTCTCGTGATGAGCTGAAATTCCTTTATTCAAAATGATTGCCAGTAGCTTGCTAAGATGTATAAATTGCTAAAAATTAGGTGAATATGTTATACTTTTTGTATATATTCAAGGTCACAGTTGGACACTCAGAAGGCCAAGAGTCATGATATTTTGCCAGTAACATGCTGTTTTGGAGTTTAAAAATCGCAAAGAGAAGTTATATTGATTTATTTTCAAGATCATATAGATAAGTAAAATGTGTTAAAATCTTTTAAAACATCTGTTAAGAAAGGAAGAAACATAGCTTCATGTTATTTGACCTGTAGCAAATGAATAAGTTTATTTCATTACAAGGTCACGACACAACAGCCAGTGCCATCTCGTGGATACTATATGCTTTAGCCACACACCCAGAACACCAGACCAAAGTCCAGGAGGAGATTGACCATGTCCTTGCTGGTAGGGAGTCTGACCGGCTCGAGTGGTCAGTTCCTTTTTATAACTGCTATTTAAGACTCATACAGTTGTAATAAGAGTAGCTCTCAGTATTAGATATTGTAACGTAACATAAATTATTGTCACTGTTCACCTAACTGAAATACTGAGACTGATCACAAGACTCATACTGAGTCTGATCACATGACTCATAATGAGCCTGATCACATGACTCATACTGTGACTGATCACATGACTCGTACTGAGGTTGATCATGATCACATGACTAATACTAAGACTGATTACATGACTATCATGAGACTGATCACATGATTCAAACTGAGAATGATCACATGACTCAAACTGAAAATGATCACAAGACTCATACTGAGTCTGATCACATGACTCATATGGAGACTGATCACATGACTCATACAGAGACTGATCACATAACTCATACAGAGACTGATCACATGACTCATACAGAGACTGATCACATAACTCATACAGAGACTGATCATATGACTCATAGAGACTGATCGCATGACTCATTGGATCATATTATTATATTAAACANTGGATCATAATATTATATTAAAAATACATTTTAAAAAATCACCATATATTTTGTTACACAGGGAAAGGAGAGGTAACTTACTAAAAATGAAATGTACGTTTTATAACTGTGGTGGATCCAGATGATCAGTAATTGTGTGACATGTATGTCTCAACAACATCTAATTGATCAATGCTTATCAAAATAGTCTCATTTTTTTTTTCTTTAACTGTTAAACACAGTTGATAAAATTAAGCCATTGAACAGAAGGACTTATCTAAGATTTTGTTGTACGTACTAGGGATGACATGCCAAAGTTGGAGTACCTGACCATGTGTATCAAGGAAGGGATGAGACTGTACAGTCCTGTGCCCTTTATACAGCGACAGAGTACACAGGAGTTCACCATTGACGGCAAGAAGTTCCCTGCAGGAACTTACATGTCAATTGGTATATACTCTGTACATCACAACCCGACAGTGTGGGAAAACCCCCACCAGTTCATACCCCAGAGATTCTCCAAGGAAAACACGGCCAAGGCTGACTCGTTCTCCTTCATTCCTTTCTCAGCTGGTCCGAGGTAGGTATTCAGGATCCAGTGTATGCAATGTGAGATAATTTACAATATTGTTTATCACAATGTTTTCAGATGAATTTTCTGTGATGAAGTATGAAGGTAAACCAATTTAAGAGATTATTCTCATCTCACTGAAAAGTCAATCATAGATGATTTGATCTTATTGAAAAGTAAGTTACCATTAGTTATGTCAGAAACAGGACACATGTTTAGTGTCTGATCCTTGCTTCTCCTGGCACATCACATTGCTGACAATATGATGATGATGATGATGATGCTTACTGTTTTTATTAAAAAATACTTCCAAAAAATGCATAACAATCACTTTTTATTTTCTGCATTAATCCTTTTTCTTTTCAGAAACTGTATTGGCCAGACTTTTGCAATGAATGAGGAGAAGGTGACTATTGCTAGGATACTGCACAAGTAAGTAGTATTACCCACAAGTAAGTAGTAAGTAGTATTACCCACAAGTAAGTAGTATTACCCACAAGTAAGTAACCCGCAAGTAAGTAGTATTACCCAAGTACTAGTATTACCCTGTGTAGGACAGTTTGTATTGTCACTGTCACATAAATGATTCCTCCTTTACATGATCCTATAAGTTGTCTGTCCATTTAATTTTGCTTCATTTGTATAATCAATTAAGTGTTATTGTCACCTAATTTGCTACCTGAAATTAAGGACTTCCCACCCTTCGTAATACACATGTTCAAGAAGGTTGTATATGAGGCGCATGGAATGCAGACTGATGTGTTTTGTTTACCGACCTCACCTGTACATATCACGTGCTTACAGTAGTTCACAAGCTCTTGGTCGCTACGACTTTTGTTGTCGGTGAGTCACGCTCTGTGAGATAAATCATTTCACAAATGCAATTACAATAACTCTGTTAAAATAGTGTTTTGTAAAATTTTAAGATCCCTACAAAATGCAAGTGCATGTGCGTGGACATGATAACGGAATACCATGTGATAGCCTATGGTTACATATGTACCTGACATGTAAATAAACCATGCGTAAGCGGGCTATGGAATGATGTCCAAAGTATACATGATTGAGAGTAATTTTGTTCCATAAAAGAACTGTAAATTGCCAATTTAATATAGTATCTTTTTTTTTTAAACTTTTATGTCGTTTTTTGGTATAGTAAAGAAAATAACTGTCCTTGTATAAATTCTATCCCTCTGCAAAAAGTTCCAATTTTTTTGTCAAGGTAGACAACTCTCATCAGGATCAAAATTACTGTAAAATGTAAATTAAATGATTTATAAAGACTTTGTGTGTATTTGGTTAAATTTTTCACTCCTTTTATATGAAACTATGTGTCCTGTTTGCTTTTAGCTGGTACAAATGTATATACACAAGTAGTAACTTTTATCCATACAATTTCAATAAAAAACGCTTTGTGTAACATGTTGTAGATATTTTATGATAAATAAAATATTTGTAGGGTTGATAAGCAATGCTTCTTTTCATTATTTTATTGTTGTAATAGTTTTGAACAATGCCACACACTCAAAAAATGTGGAAGTGTTAAAATTTGACAAAAAATCAATTTTTCTGTATTTAAAAAAATATATCCCAAGTTTATCGGAATGCTTAGATTTTCATAAAATCATCTCTACACAGTGACATAACCATCATGTGAAACTTTCATTGAATTCTGGTGGCTAATTGTGAAAGGGTGGAGCCTCCTTAAAATTGTCTCCCCATTGCTAGATAAGTAAAATTGTCTACTCCATTAATGCTAAGATCATTAAAGTTGTCTCCCTTTACTTAGATAATTAAAGTTGTCTCCTCTTTGGTTTAAGCATTAATACTGTCTCCCAGATTTTGATATAATCGTTGAAGTTGTCTGCTCCTTTACTAAATCATTAAATTAAAATTGCTATAGTGTAAAATTATGAAAGATGTCTCCATCTTTGATACGATCCCTATTAAAATTGTCCCCCTTTGCTAGATCATGGAAGTTGTCTGCTCATTTGCTTAGATCATTAAATTCTGTCCTTTTTTCCAATAGGTATACACTAGAAGCTGATCCCAAGGTGGAAGTGAAGCTGAAGGCTGCAGCAGTGATGAGATCATTAAATGGTGTCTACCTCTTCAACAAACCTCGACACTGATTGAACCAATGCTTGAATATAAATTGATCAAGACCATGCTAATGATTTAAAGCGATACGAAACTGTCATTTGCTATAAGAAACTCTGTCATGTGACAGAACAAGCTTTGTCATGTGACCTGAGAAACTCTGTCACGTGACAGAACTAGCATTGTCATGTGACCTGAGAAACTCTGTCACATGATAGAACAAGCTTTTTCCTATGACCTGAGAAACTATGTCATGTAACAACAAAAACCAGAATTCAGTTAGATTTAAACCATTGACCATGATATATGTTACAATCATTTATTGTATAATCTGATTCCACTTATCCAAGTTTTATTGGGACCTATGTCACACTTGTTGTCTCAAGTGACCTATTGCAATCGCCTTTTGTCCGGTGTCGTGCGTCGTCCGTCTGTAAACAATTTACATTTTCGACTTCTTCTCCAAAACCCCTGAACCAATTTCAATGAAGGGTAGGGTCAATGCCTATGGAGATTTAACATTAGCATCGACCCCTGCTTGGAATTTCAAAACAAGATAAATCCAAAAAGGTACGGGTATAGGAAGCTTAAATCAGGAACAGTTAGTTTCAGAACTCATTTTATGATAAATGGGACCTCATTGACTTACACCTGTGTGGGTGCTAAAGGTGTGATAATACAATTCCTCCTAGAGCATTTAAATGACATAATTACTACAAAATTATATCATCATCGTGTGTAACATATTCCAACTGTTATTTTGATACCAAATATTACATTATTTCAAGAAAGAATTGTTCATTTTATTGAAGATTAAAACAGAAAAGTATGCGAAACTTTATTACTAATGAGAAAATTTCCATTTTTGACACGTTAATTTAAATAGTTCTAAAACTAGTCTATTTTTCATACTCGATTAAAAGTTGGCTACCAATAATATCTTTCAACAACAGAAATTTAAAAAAAATGACAACTGGTAAATTTGTCATTATAACACTATTGATTCAAAAAAAGAAAGACGGAGCTTTCTTTCCACTTTTTCTTTAACTTGTGTTTCTTCATGACCAAAGGTCAGTGGGTCTTTCTTTTGGCAAGTAGGTTGTTCATGTGCATGGATTTAAGTTTTGTAAACGTTGATGACCTTGAACTTCGTTCAAGGTCACAAAAATCAAATGTGCATAAAACATTTTTGTATGGGGAGTCAGACAAGGATATCTTTCCTTGCTTTATTTGTTGAGTTAACGATATAAATGAATATAATACTCATTCATATTTTGTTTAATGAATGGCAATAAGCAAAAAAATAAAAAAATAACTAGAACTGTAAGCCAAAGACTAACTAATATCCCCGCTCCTATATAAACCAGAACTGTAAGCTTAATGCTAACTAAGGCAAATCATTGCAAAGCAACACATAGTCTCCCACCAGTAATTATTTAAGTATATATATAAGCAAAAAAAATAACAATAATAACTAGAACTGTAAGCCAAAGACTAACTAATATCCCCGCTCCTATATAAACCAGAACTGTAAGCTTAATGCTAACTAAGGCAAAGCATTGCAAACCAACCCATACTCTCCCACCAGTAATTATCTAAGTATATATGTCACTGACATACTTCCTGTACTCCCTCTCTATGCCAAAACATACACCCTTTAAAATTTCAAAATTCTTCTTCTAATGATCCAGATATGGTAGAATCAAATACTCTTCATAGATGGAAGGGTCTTAAGGTGCTTTACCATAATTCAGCTGACTGACAGAACCACTGTGTACATAGTACATATATATACTACAGATCTTTCACACCACTTTTGCATTACATATAGTTCAAGTTACTTTTGTTACAAAATGATTTCTTTTTCATTTGGCAACATCGATAACATCAGATTTTACATAACTCAGGTGACCGTTAAGGCCCATGGGCCTCTTGTTGTAATTTATGGTCTAATTATGTAATACATGTACACAGATTTCCTGATGACATGCAGTAAAAATATTGGTTTACAATGTAAGTACCTTAAGTACAAATAAGGGTTCATTGTGTATGTACCTAAAACCGTAGAGATACTGGCTCAATGTAAGTACCTTAGTACATGTACAAATAAGGTTTGTTGTGTATGTACCTAAATGGTACAGATACTGACTCAATGTAAGTACCTTAGTACAAATAAGGGTTCATTGTGTATGAACCTAAATGGTACAGATACTGACTCAA